ACATTATCTTCATCAACACAGGCATCGATCGAAATCGATTCATTGTTTGAAGGTATCGATTTCTATTCAACTATAACTCGTGCTCGTTTTGAAGAATTGTGTGCCGATTTATTTCGTTCAACATTGGATCCAGTGGAAAAATCACTTCGTGATGCTAAATTGGATAAATCACAAATCAATGAAATTGTATTGGTCGGTGGTTCAACTCGTATCCCAAAAATTCAAAAATTATTGCAAGATTTTTTCAATGGCAAAGAATTGAACAAATCGATCAATCCGGATGAAGCTGTTGCCTATGGAGCTGCTGTACAGGCTGCTATCCTTAATGGTGATCAATCTGAAAATGTACAAGATCTTTTGCTTCTTGATGTAGCTCCATTATCTTTGGGTATTGAAACTGCTGGTGGTGTGATGACCGCATTGATCAAACGTAACACTACCATTCCGACGAAACAAACACAAACATTCACAACTTATGCTGATAATCAGCCCGGTGTTTTGATTCAGGTAAGGTTTTTTGATAATTTTGAAAATGGTGAAATGAATTCTAATTAATAATCCTCTATAGGTCTATGAAGGTGAACGTGCCATGACCAAAGATAACAATTTATTGGGTAAATTTGAATTAACTGGTATACCACCGGCTCCACGAGGTGTTCCACAAATCGAAGTTACATTCGATATTGATGCTAATGGTATTTTGAATGTATCGGCCGTAGATAAAAGTACCGGCAAACAGAATAAAATCACAATCACAAATGATAAGGGTCGATTATCGAAAGATGATATTGAACGTATGGTGAAAGAAGCGGAATCCTATAAAGAAGAAGATGATAAACAACGTGAACGTATTGCAGCCAAAAATTCATTGGAAGGTTATGCTTTCCAAATGAAAGCTACCTTAGATGAAGAAGCAATCAAATCTAAAGTTTCGGAAGAAGATCGTAAAAAAATTCTTGACAAAGTTGATGAAGTGCTCAAATGGTTGGATGCTAATGCTTTGGCTGAGAAAGATGAATTCGATCATCAACGTAAAGAATTGGAAGGTATTTGCAATCCGATCATTACGAAATTGTATCAACAAGCCGGTGGCGCTGCTGCTGGTGGTATGCCTGGTGGATTCCCTGGCGGATTTCCAGGTGCTGGAAGTGGTGATGCTGGTAATGCTTCAGCCGGTGGTGATGGTGGTAAATCTGGACCTACCATTGAAGAAGTGGATTAATAATTCATCGATTGTTAGTCTTGATTCATGAACTTCCTCTAAATGCATTTTTATATCTGAAAAACAAGTGTGTGTGTGTGAATTTGAAAAAACAAATTTCATTTTTTATTCTTTGCTCTTAAAAATAATGTCTTTTTGTAATATCGTTAATGGGATAAATTAATTAATTATTCTGGATGTCGTCGGTTTAATTTAGTCAAGGCAAAACAAAATTTTTACTCATTTTCAATTGATTTTTATTGTATTTAATTAATAAATTGAAAATTTTCAAATAAAATTGAACTGACGACTATTTTGATCTGATTGATCATCGTTTTGGCTATTTTAACTTTATCGTAGCATTTTCTTTATATTTCTCTCATTGATGATCATTCTCGCGTGCATTTTTTTTTTTGTTTTGCTTATTGGTGATAATTTCTTTAATTTTGTAAATTAAATTTTCATTTTTGACAGTAAACAAAATTCATTATGAATATTGATCGTATTAATGTGGATCCATCTTCGACCGAAGAAGAAGATGAGGGTGATGATCGAACCGATGATGAAGATATGAAAGAAGTAGAAGAAAATGTCAAAAACGAATCGAATAATAATAATACCGATATTGATGATGAAATGGCACATATACAAAGCCATCTACATGGTGGTGATGATGAAGATGATAAGTTCAATGCATTAATCAATAATAATGAAATGCAACCAGTTGATGATGACGATGATGACGACCATGATAGCCAAAATAGAATGGAAAATAAAGAAAATGGTACGTTCGATGGTGGCGATAATAATGATAACGATGATGATCAAGAAACCGATGATGAAACTGATGAAGAAGAAGATGATAATGTTCAAATAACTATTGGTGAAATTGATTTAAAAACACCGTTGACACAATCATCTGGCTATTTGAATCTAAATCTACAGAAAGGTGGTCGACAATTTGCACAAAATTCAACAACAACCGCTGCAAAAAATGTATCGAAAACAGCATTGGATATGGATGCTGTTGGCACTTATAATAATATGCAAATATATGATGTTAATCTTGATTCAATCGAAGATAAACCATGGCGTAAACCTGGTTCGGATGTGACCGATTATTTTAACTATGGTTTTACTGAAGAAACATGGAAAATTTATTGTGATCGACAACGAAAAATTCGTGCCATGAATCAAAATGGTCAATTCGATGTGAATGCTGCATTGAATCTAACACATTTACCCCCACATTTAATGGCAACCAATCAAACGAACGGTACTGGTGGTGGTTTAAAATTGATGATGATGAATGACCAACAACAGCAACAACGAGAACCATTGATCAAATCAATGCCGAATAATCAATCGAATGATCAGCCATTCCATGAAAATTCTAATAAATATTCCAATTCTATATTGACAATCAATAATTCACAACAAGCACATTTGAAAAAATCTTCACTTTGTATGCCGCCTCCGTTATTACCATCATCATCATCATCTTCATCTACAAATTTGTCTGCAGCCACTTTACGAAAAGGTCCGATCGATATTCTTGGTAACAATAATAGTTCGACGCCTATCGTAGGTGGTCATCAAGGTCCACCGCAATTATCATTAGTTCCATTACCACCATTACCTGGATCTGCTACCGGATTACTTGGTTCAAGACCGAATTCAAATAATTTACCACAATCTTCTAATTCATCATCATCATCATCGTCATCACCGAATCCGGATCGTCTGGTCGAACCAAATTCCATATCAGTGATTGGAAATCGATCTAATCTTCCGTTTCCACCATTGCCACCACCACCATTTGCATTTGGACCAGTAGATCCGCATGTATTTCCGCCACCTTCGATGCGTCCACCACCTGTACCAGTACCACCGCTTGGAATTTTACCACCATTAGGACCGAATGTACCAACGCATCCTGGCGGTTTGCCACCACCATTTAGTAGTGCAGATTTTCGTCCATATCCACCACCACCTGGTTCAGGTATTCTACCACATCCATCCGATCAACGTGGATCATCATCTTATGATCAAGATTATGATGATCGAAGCCATAAACGTTCGAGATCGGATTATGATGATTATGATACACGATCATCTCGAGCTTATGGTCGAAGTAGTGGGAGTGGTGGTGGACAAAGTTCCGATCGAGATTATGATGATCGATCCAGTGGTGGTGATCGTTTTCAACCATCATCTTCACGTAATCATCAATCGTCATCAAACTATTCATCATCAAGAGAATGGGATCATTATTCTGATCGAGATCGAGACAGAGACCGTAATGAACGTGATCGAGAACGGGAAAGAGAAAAAGATAGAGAAAGAGGTGACCGGGATCGAGACAGAGAACGAGAACGAGATTCAGAACGAAGAAAAGAAAGAAGTCGTGAAAGATCACGTGATCGTAGTAGTAGCCAACATGAATCAAGTTCATCAACAACAACATCATCTTCACATCGTCATACTCGAAATAATCGAGATCGGGATTCGACTACAACGGCTAATACGGCTGCTGCCATCATCAACCCGAGCTCATCATCATCATCAAGTCGTAGGGATAAAGATCATAGAGATCGTTCGGATCGAAATGATCATAAAGAATCATCATCATCATCGAAAAATCGATCATCAAAACATGAATCGGATCATAAATCATCACATCGTTCATCGACAGCAACAACATCACATTCATCAAGTAAATCAAAATCCAAATCATCATCATCATCGCGTAGTAAGGATTCGAAAAAGGATTCGGATAAATAAATATGAATGAAACTATTTCTACTCTCTTATGTAAATATATGATATTTTGGTGATAATGCAACAGCAGGATATTATCGATTGCTATTTTGTTTGTTTGTTTGTATAATCTATAATAATAATGATAATTTCAATCATGATTTACTCTTTTTTTACTGAATTTTAATAAAAGATTAAAACAAAATCAGTTTTCTTTTCTTTTCAAATTGATCAATTTGAAATTGATTCGAGTCTATAAATATCGTGACAATCGATTGTATCGATAGTCTCTAAGTATGGTATGTCCGTCTCTCTTTTTACAACATCCATTTAATGTCTAAAATTGATGGATAATAATAATTGGATTAAGTGGAAAATACCCGATAATTTTTTGCCAAAACTTGTTCACTGCTATAATCATAATTGAAGAATGGATCAAATATTTTCAAATGGAAAATGATCAATTTTTTCCTGGATTTTCCTGGATTGATTTTAATCATCCATCACTGTGATTAGGTCAATGATTTTGTTCATTAAATTAAAACGATCGATTTCAACCGTATGAATGAACATTGATAGTTTGATGATGGTGTAATCGACAACAATCTCCCCATATCAGCCATTGATGGGTGAGGCTATGATGCTTTTGGCCATTATTTCCGAATGGCCACCATATAATCCAGGCAACTTTGCTTAGTTGATGATATTTAGTTGTTGTTGCAAATATCGTTTGCAATTTTCAACGAAAAACAAAAAAAACAAGGAAGTTTGACCATCGGGAAATAATAATAATAATATATTTATTTAGTTTGAATTAAAGATTAGCTTGCTTTTTCCACTGATTCGATGTTGATGTCCATGATGAAATTTGGATCAAAAAAAAACTTGGATTTAATCGAACGAAAATCATCGAAATTAAAAAAACGATAATGATGTTTTGGTACATTTCCTGTTTCAACTTGTTTGTCTGACTGCACCTTTCATTCATTCATTCATTGATTTATTAAAATTGGATCGATTTTTTTCATATTTTGGTTGTTTGTTTGAAAAATTTTAATTTATTTTTTAAGTTTTTATGATTTTTTTTGGTTTGTTTTTGCAAAAATAGGAAAAAAATTGAAATAGAATCATGGCCAGAATCTAGGTGCAGTTTTGAAATCAAAGATGAACAAAACAAATGTGAACAATGAATGGACAGAAAAATAGTGATGGACGAATTTTTGAAATTTTGAAAAGTTTTTTGGAACAATAAAAAAAGAATGACTAAAAATGTGATTGTTTTTGGTTTGTCGTTAACATTGACGGTTGGACAGAGAATTTTAGACAAAAAACATTGATTGATGTTTTTTGGTGAAATAAATAAATAATAATGGTAAAAAAATACACGAAAATGACAATTGAAAACGTATTTTTGTAGTATTATGGACACGATTTGATGAGATTCGGTGATAATTGATGATGATGATAATGATGATTGGTGATTGGTGATGAGGTATGAGAGATGATAATGATAATGATGATACTATCAGGTAATGATGCTGATGATGATGATTGTGGCCGATTATTTTGGTCGAATGTGATTAGAATGTGAGCAAAAAAGAGAGAGAGCTTTAAAAGGGAAAATTTTGTGTGCGGTTTGTTTATAGATAGATTCTGTGACGCATTGCAAATATAAATGTGAATACCAGCTTCACAAATTTTCGCTAGCTAGCCACACCAGAAAGCTATTAACAGAATATCAGAGTTTTTCTTCAGGTCGCTAAGTGAATTTAGATGGTTTTTTTTGTTGTTGTTTAATATGGTCGTCCACCGCCATGCATTGGTGGTGGCATTGCATACTGTGGCATATGATTACTACCGGAAGCAGCATAATCTCCATGACCACCACCGCCGCCACCGTAACCGTGACCACCACCATAACCATGATCGACGCTGAAATTTTTGGAAAATGTCGGAATTTTTTCACATTTTTCAAAAAATAAATTTTTTTTGCTACTTACTAAACTGGATAATGATATGGTTCTGGATATGGGATAACTTTTTCATCTTTGATTGGCAATGGAATCTAGAGTGCAAAAAACAACAAAAATTCATTTTATCAATGATGCAACATGAAATGAAATGAAACATACCGGAATAGGCAATGGCAATGGTTTAAATTTTTCTTTACTGGCCAATAAGACACCCAACAATAATGGAATCAATATTTTTTTCTTCAATTTAGCTGCTTCAACTTGATATTGTTGATCATTTGGTACCAACATTATGATCGCTGCTATTAAACAGACGAACATTATTGAAAATGTATGAAGGTATTTCATTTTTTTTGGTTTTGGTTTGGTTTTAAATTTTTTAGTCTTAAAAAACAGCACTTTTTTGAAAAATTGTAACACCGTGACACACCGAAATCGGCAACAAACAAACAAAACGAAAACTAATATGAAAAACCAATTGATTTGGGATCGTGTTTTTATATGAGAAAAACAAATTTTTTCCAGGAACATTGGTGTAGAGACACTTCTTGTTGTTGTTGTCGTCTCCAGTATAATTTTCTTGTCTCCTTTTTCCACAAAAAAAATGAAGAAATTATCCAGTAGCATCAATCGGTTTCTCTCTAAATTTCAATTTTTTCATTCATTCTTAGCATAACATCCTCATCATCAGTGGTAAAAACGTGCAGAGAAATTTTGGAAATTTTTTTTTGTATTTTGTTTTCAGGGGGAAAAAATTGAAATTTTGAATTGAAAATTAAAATAAACGGAAACCAGGTAATGATGATGATGATAATTTCCAATCCATAGATTAATTATTATTTAGCCTGATTGACTACACTCAAAAAAATGGCTAAAGAGCAAGTTTTTTCCACCTTTTACAGTAAAAAAAAAATCAATGACCAGTAGTAAAAAAAGAAGTTGGAAAAAAATCTTTGGGTTCCGCATCAAAAATCCATTATATCATTGTGTGTATCAATTATCAATTTTTTGTTATTTGTTTGTTAAATCAAAAATCGGTTTAATTGATTAATTTTCATAATGATTTTTTCAAGTTTTAGAAATATTTCCATAAATTTTTTTCCTCTGGAATTTTCTTTTTTAAAAAAATATTTTTCCCTAGTCAAATTTCAAATTTTGTTTTGGTATCGAAAAAAATCATCGGATAGTTATGATAATGATCGATAGTGTTTGATCAACAATTCAATTTCCTATCTCTATCTCCATATCGTAATATTCAAACTCAAAAACTAAAAAACCGAACGCAATTTTTTTGCTTTTAAAAAAATGAATTTAAATTTGAAATTGAATTTTATAGGAAAAATAAATAAATATTGACAAATTGTATTTGGAAATTTGATTAAATAAAATTAAAAAATGTAACAAAAGAAAAAATTTTACAGGTTTTCATATTTTGGACAGAATTTTTTGGAGAAAAAAATATCAAAATTTTTTGATACAAATAAATGATGATGATCGAATGATGAATTAATGATGATGATGATGAGCGAAAAAATGACAATGAAAATTTGGATGCTAACAAAAATAAAAATTTCTGTAAAATTGTTTCCTAAATATAAAAGAAAATGTCAAGGAATTTTGCTTTTCTGGCTATCAAACAGAGATTTTTTGCTTCAAAATGATATGAATTTGGGATTTTGCATTGTTTTTGTGGTTGAAAAATAATTTTAATGAGGTAATTTAATGAGAATGATGAAAGTGATGATGATAATGATGATGATAATCCTTTTCCTCAAGTTTCCTTTTTTTTCTTTTCGACAACGATGATAATGATAATGATGATGATATTGGGACTTTTGGACAACGACAACGACGATGACAACTTTTTCCCGTTCAAGACTATGGACCATTTTTTTTGCTTTCGACAACGACAAAGACAATGTTTTTTGATGAATGAATGATGATGGTAATGACATAGATGATTTTGGTGGTAGTCGTCGATGGGTTTGATTAAAGATCAAAAAAACCAGCTTCCGATCCAGAAATAAAACCGCAACAACAATAACAATGATAATGATGATTATGTGGGCACCGTGGATATCAATTCAAAAAAAATCAAAATTTTCAGGATTTAAAAATTGAAGATTTTCTCTATTTAGTATGGACGATAACCTTGTGGTGGAAGTGCATATTGTGGCATATAACCACTTGCAGCAGCATAATGATCACCACCTCCATAGCCACCACCGCCATAACCTCCACCATGTTCATAACCACCGCTACTATAAAAAGTTTTTTGGAAAATTAAATTAAATTATACTTTTTTTGTTCCAGAAAATATTGCCAGAAGAAAATACTTACTAAACTGGATAATGATATGGTTCTGGATATGGAATAACTTTTTCATGTTTGATTGGCAATGGAATCTATTTTATTAAGAAAATTTACATGAAAAAATTGATCAAACTTTTGTTTTTTTCAAATCACTAACCGGCAATGGAAGTGGTAAAGGCATCAATTTTTGTTTCGAACCCAACAAAGCACCCAATAAAATTGCTGTTAATAATTTTTTCTTTTTTGCTTCAACTGGTGCAGGTGGACCAAAAAACATGGTGGCCATTACCAAACAGGTAAACACAATAGCAAAACTATGAATGAATTTCATTTTTATTTATTTATTGAATTTTATCGATTCGAAAATCTCAAAACACTAAACGAAACAAACGAACGAACACAGAAAACACCTGAAAAAACAACAACACAAACAAACCAAAAATTTTCGAATCGAATTGGATGATGGTTTTGATTATTATTAAAAATGTTGAATCATTTGTCGATCGATACAGTTTGTTTTTATAGTAATGGTCAGTCACAGGCAGCTGTTGATGTTACCTGTCCGCATCAATTATTTCAGCAAAAAATAAAGGAAGATGAAAGGAAGGAAGGCGTAATGTGGAAGGATGTTTTTTGCAAAAGAAAAAACTCTTGTTTTCTCAACATTATTTTCTCATTCATTCATTTACTCTTTCTTTCACTTTCATTTGTTTTCAAGTATCACTCTTCTAGAAAAAAAATGAGAAAACAAAATCATCCAAATTAGCATTTTTCAGTGTTTAGTGTTTGATCTGGATCCACTGTGTTCCTCTACCTATGTCCAGGTAAATGATGATGGTTGATCTTTGTAAGGTTGTTCCCAAAGATATCTATCAACAGTGAAATCGCGGATGAAAACGATGCAATCTTTTTTTCTTATTTTTTGATTCAAATTTTTTGATATCCGGTCATATCATTTACGAAACAAAAAGAGAAAATGCTGATGATGATGATTATGTAATTATATTAAATGCTAGAAGAAACAAAAACTAAACCAAATGACCGAAAGCAGTGCTTTATTTTTTGTTTCTATCAAAAAAATCATGTAATGAATGAATGAATGATGATGATGATAATAATGTGCCCTTAAGGGCATTATCATTATTAAACATTTCACCCAATCACCACACATACACACAAACAAAAACTACCGTAAATGACCAATGGCTATGACTTTTTCATTTCAACGAACAAAACAAGTAAAAGAAAAAACTAAGGAAATGAATGAAAGAAAAAATGTTTGAAATGAAAACATTATCATCATCATCCTGATCCTGATTATCATTAGCATCTTTAAATCATTCTGTAAAGTCCATTTTTTGTTGTTGAAGTGAAAAAAAAATTTCACTTTTCGCCAACAACAACTGTGACATATTTTATGTCTAATTTAAAAACAGAAAAAAAGGGATGCATACGACGCACGTGACATTCATGAATTTAACTTTGCACACCTGATGATTATTAATTAATTATTTTTTTAAACCATCAAAAATGATCTGTAATAATGTCTTTAAAATTGTCTTTTTCAAACTTCAACAACATTTCATTATGAAATGATAACTAAACTAAAGTAAAGTATTTCATCATTATCCATGTTATCGGTTTGATTATTGATTTGATTTGATCTTGTTTTTTGGATGTTGTGGTTGTTGAATTTACTTCCGTCATCATGATCAGCTTTATGATCAATCAGTTATTAGGATATTTTATTTTTTTTTTTTTTTGGCTGGCTAATTTTCGTCGCCACTGGCCATTAATGTCCAGTCCAGTCCAGTGTGTGATGTTTACAGGTTTTCTGCTTAATTTCGTTTTCCTTTTTTTATCGTTCAAGTTTTTTTCTCGGATGATAACAACCAACCAAAAAGATTAATTGAATTTTCTCTTTTTTTTTGTTACATAAAATAATCATTGATTTTTTTTCATTTTCCTCAAATAATTATGGCTAATGGGGAAAAAAATTGTATCGGAACCGGATCTTTCTGCTTTTTTTTATATCGATGTTATCGATCCAAATATCAATTATCGTTTTTTGTCTGCCCAATGATTATAATCAAAAAAAATTAATTAATTAATGAAAACTACAACGATGAAAAACATTATCTCGTGACCAACGACTGGACAAGTCGATACTGGATGATTTCTTTTTTCTGATTAGAAAATCAGAAAAATTATTGACGCTTATTTAGAGTGATTCACAGTTTCACTTTCACCATCTTATAAACACTGGCGAACAAAAAACAAGTAAAAAAATTCAGATGATGATGATGATGTTTTAGGCTAGGCCATGGCCTGTATCATCATCATCTGAATTTGATAAAGTGAATAACTTTATCAATGAAATTTTGCTTCTGCTTGTCCGTTTATTATATTGATATATATTTTGTTTCGTTTTTTTGTCTTGATTTTGATTTGATGCACTCGTTTCACGGAAAAACAAAATAAATGTTGATCATTATAATGAACTACCTGACTTATTCAATTTGACTTTGGAAAAAAAAGTGAAAATGGATGAAACATTCATTTCCGTTTGATAAACAAGATTTTTCTGTTACGTTGAAATTTCGTAATGAGAAAAATCAATTTTTCTACACTTTCTGCATTTTTTTTCCTCCGATCAAATACGGAAAGATATCTGTTAGTGTGTGTGGCCATTAAAATATTCTGATTATGGTAATATTCACATTGATTGATCATGGTCATCATCAGTATTGAAATGAAAACTTTCAATTTTTTTTTCTTGATTACAATCGATAATGAATGAATGAATGAAAAAATTGATAAAAAATCTAGATCAATTTTCCTTTGTTGTTGTTGTCAGTTGGTCGGTTATTAATTATTAATTAATTTCTGATGAAAGACAAAACGAAAAGGAAAAATCGGGAAAAAACAATCAAATTTTGTCATCATCATCATCATCAGGTTTGGTTATTAAGACAACGTCCAACAACAACAAAAGGAAGTCAACAACAACAACAAAATAAATATGTATCAAGTTGATTAGATTGATCAATCGATCGATCGATCGATTGATTGGATAGAAAAGCAAAAACAAAACAAAAAATTTGATTTGATCAATGATAATAGGATGATGATGATAATGATGAAAGCAAAAACAAAATAAATCAGGATAAACAGGATATAATTATATCGATTATACTTTTTGCTCAGGATTTATATTTCAAATATATCGATATTAGTAAAAAAATAAATAAATAAGATCATCATCATCATTGGTTATTGGTTCCTGATTTGTTGATTGATTATTGTTATTTTGTGTGTTTGGATCATTATTTGGATTAAAAAAATGATGAAACATTTGTTAAAAGTTTCATTTTTTAATTTCTCTTCACCTGGGTTAATCATCATTTGTTTTGATTTATTATGAAACAATTGATTTTCTTGCCATGTCCGAAACTGATCTGATTGTTATTGTTAATGATGATTATCATTTTTTTCGATGACAGGAAACGAATTTTTTGTTTTTGAACAACAAACAAAAAAGTTTGTTTGTTTTCGACAAAAACAATTGATAAATTTGTTCAGTTTGTAAAGTTTTTTGGGTTGATATTCAGTCAAACATCCAACTGGGCAAAAAAATCATTTATCATTTTTTCGGTTGAAGAATCAATTTGTTACTGAAAAAATGAATTCATTGTTTGTTTGTTTTGTCCATAGCAATAAATATGATTTCAAATTGTGTTTCTGTGGCAATGATAATTCACTTGAAATTTTGTGATTCAAATCAGTTTTATTTTTTCCGTAAAATTAAATTAATTTCAAGCAAAATTGTTAATTTTAAATTATTTCGGGAAAGTTTGCCCAGATTGAATTATATCCGATCAGATCAGTACAGATGATGATGATGATAATCAATTTTATGATTTTAAATTGATAAAAATAAACCTCCATACACCACCACCGTGTGATAATTTCTTAAATGATGTGCAATATTTTTATTTATTTTGAAAAAAATTTAAATTTAAAAAAAATGTAATGATGAGGTAAACAACATTTACAACACACAGATATGAATTTGGACATGTTTGGGGAATTTGACAGACTAGGGTTTTTTTTTGGTGGTTTTGACATATATTTTTTTTCACTATGTTCAATCGATTTATATGAAAATCTATTGGAAATTGATTGGTTTTAAGTAGGAATTTTGTTTGTTTGAGTGTAAATGTGTGAGTGTGATTGGATTTGGTGGGTTTTTGTGGGTAAGTAATGATATACAAATGCACAATGATCTATCCTGATCACGAAAGACAATTAAAAGGAATTAGGAAAAATCAAAAACGGCAACAAAATGGGTTCTGATATAGATGATAAATGATGAATGAATGATTCAAACGCTACACAATAATGATTTAATGAATGGATGAATGGATGATTGAGATTTTGATGTCAAATACAAAAACAATTCAATGTAACCGAGATGCTTAACGAGATGAATGAATGAATGATGATGACGATGAGAAATGATCAATGTTTTTTCACAATTAGAAATTTTCGGGTTAAACTTAATAATAACCGCCATCATAACCACCTCCGCCGCCATAATACCCATCATCATAGCCCCCGCCATAACCACCACCATATCCGCCGTGGTAACTTTTTTCAACACTGATTTTTTTGAAAAAAACATAATTAGTACGATTAAAATCCGTTAGATGGAACAAACAGCAGTTCCAAACAAAAATAAATTTTTACTTACTAAATAGGATAAGGTTGTGGAACTGGTACATATTTTTTATGTTCTTCTTTGACTGGAATCTAGAAAAACGTTAATAAGAAAAAAACATTAAATTTGAGACAAGAAAAAAACCATAAAAAATATCATACCGGTATAGGAAGTGGAATTGGTAGAATTTTTGGTTTAGCAGCTAATGCTGCACCAAGTAATAATGCGGCAAGAATTTTTTTCTTTTTTCCCGCTTCAACATCTACGATAAACATTGATGTAAACATTAGGGTGGCAAATATGATGGCCAATATTGAATGTTTATTTATCGATTTCATTTTGTTTGCTTTTTAGGAATTTTTTTTTGTTGAAACAACACACTTGAAACAATTGAAAACAAAATAATCACACTGATAATGAATAATCAAAACCGAAAAAAATAAAATTTTTTGAAAAATCTAAGATTCAAGATTTGTTATCATCATAATATTCGTGATTCGCCAAATAAAACGTGCTTTATATATGGATGATTGTGGTGGATTCATTTCACACACATCATTATTATGATCAATCGAGGCCGAACGCACACACTGTAAATTTGTGGAACATATTGACACCACATACATAATATCAGCAGCAACAGAATGTATGTAAAAGAAAAGAAAATTTTGTTTATTGAGAAAATTTTCAGTGTTTTGTTTTGTTTCAAGACGAAGAAATTAATGGGAAAAATATTGTAAAGATGGGCTCTTTTCATTTTCATTATTTTTGCCTAGTGATTCTAAAATATACCGCAATAGTAGACGACTCTAAATAGGTGGTTTTTTTGTTTGTTTGAATAATGTATGCATGGTGCTGATGTTTGATTGTAACATTTTTGCGCTTGTTTTTTCCTCCCCTTCACGAAAAGCTCGTGTTTCAAAATTTTTGACATTGTTTTTTTTATTGGGCCTTTCCCCCTCCTCTTCTCGTTTCAAATCATTCTTTCTCTTTCTTACTCTCTGCGTTATTGATGTTTAAATTTCTTTATGGTGATGACCATAATTCCATTAATAAATTTTTCAACGAAAATCAATTACCTTAGCAATATGTTCATGTTATGTATGTAATGAGGAACAGAAAAATTGGAATAATAATGATAATAATAATAATAATTTGTTAAATTATCATTTGGTTGGCCTTTTGGCCCATCAGCATCATCATAATAATAATTTTTTAATAGAGCAAAATATGAATAAATGGAAATGGTGGATGTAAATTGTCTACCGGGTGTCCTTGACAACCATTACCATCGCCATCATTGTCATCATCACAAATCGAATCACCGGAAACAAATGGTCGAAAAAACAAGGTGACCAAATCAATTTCTTTCTCTTTTGCCGGGTAAATATTTGCCATAAACGAAAAAAGTCTTGTCGCATTTCCCGTGTTTGTTCCCGGAATCATCCGGAGCAACAAAACAAAAAAAACCCGAAAAAACTAATGATGATGAAAAGATGTTACACAATCATCATTACAAAATTAATATTCTCACTTAGCTAGTTTGTTTGTTTGTTCTTCAATGTTAGCAAACAAATGAACAAAAAAAAAAACACGCGAAAAACAAAAATCGACACAATTTAACAAAAAATTTGCTGAAAACAACAACAACAAAAAAACAAAGTCAAGGTTAAATGAATTTGGATCAAACATCAAAAAAACATTACATTTTTGGTTTTTCCATCCCCACTCCCCAATTATATAATCTCTCTCTTTTTCTCCATAAGATGTTGTTGGCCGTTGGCTAATTATTTGTGTTTTTTGTTTTGTTTCAATTTTTTGATTAAACACTAAATTAAAACAAAATCTAAATCACTTTTTCGTATACAAATCAAATGTTTTCTTTTCTTTGTCTGTTTGTTTACAAAGAAGTAAAAAAGGATTCAAGGAAAACAAGTGTGCATGTAAAGAAGAAAGAAATCAAATTCCAAGTTCATGGTTACTTTTTTTCTAACAAACAAAATGATAATCATCATTAAATGTGATAAAGATGTTTGTTTTGTCAATTTGTCATCAAATGAGAAAATGTTTACAACAAAAAAATTTGGGGAATTTTCTCAACATTTCTGGAAAGATTTTTTTTTTGACAAGGAAATTTCTTTCTTTCATCATGATTGATTGATTGATTGGATAAATCATGATCTAGATATTATCTCTTTCTTGCTGCAAATCACTACAGGGTAGTTTATGAAAAAAACAATCAATCAAAATCTGATGAATCTTGTTGTTGTTTGACATGATTTTTTCTCGATTGATAAATAATCTGTCTAAACATGTCTTTCATTTTATTCTGGGTCATTTTTTGTTTGTTCAAAATTCTAATTGATTGATCTTCGGGCGACATTTTGGTGGAAAAAAATTTCAACAACAAAAACAAAAGAAAAACAAACTTGTATTTTGTTTTGGTAAATACATTCCATTCATTGTTTCAATGTCGTTCGGTAAATAAATGTATTGTGGTTTTGCCATTGTGGTTTCCCTGTTGGTGTGTTTGTGCTTAAATGGTCAATCACGATCGTGATCTGATTTGATGATTTGTAATGTTATACAAACGAACAAACGAAAAACATTTCCGCCATTTCATCATCATTAATGTAAAGATTTGCATTCTGTAATTTACAGATTTCTTAATTTTTTTGTTTTTTAAACGTTGAAAATGATCATTTTATGAATAATTTATTCAAACTAATCTTTTGCTCGGTATAATTCCCGAAACCTGGGTGATAATCATTTCTTTTTTTTCAAACAAGGAAAAAAACTTTTCCAGAAATGTTTTTTTGATATTGAAACTGATCGATTGTGATTGTGATCAGGATCAATTTGTTCAGGATAATGATATCATCATCATCATTATTCAATCAATAATCAGTATAAATACTTCCTTTTTTGCCCACTGAAAATTGAATCGGATCATCATCATTATCTATAGGTGATTAATTGAAACTTTTACCTCGAATTAAACATTGTTTCCGTTGGAAAATTTCCGGAAATCATCACTCGATAAATATCGTCGATTTAAGAAAAAATCTAATATCATAATCGTGACTTTGATAATTTTCCTTCTTTATCTTGATAATTAAATGACTTGCACGTGGTTTCTCACACACAATTACCGAAAAACGAAAAATTCAACAAGAAAAAAACCATTCCATTAATCAATCCATTTAATTGATGATGAGTATTACTGAGAAAATTTTCAAAAAAAGAAAAAGTTTTCATCTGACTCAGTACAAAGATGATGATGACCGAATTTTTTTCAAAAAATCTTAATTTTAAAATGATGATGTAATCATGCAATGCAATGTTTTTTCTCTATATTTTTGAGAGACAAAATCACGATCCAAAAAAATTTCTGGAAAAACCCGTGTGGTGTCGACACATTGATGTGAAACAAACATTAAAATGTGGAAAATCCCAATTGGAAAATTTATGAAATTTTTTTTTTGTTGTAAAATTGTAAAAATTTATGGGAATTTGTTTCATTTATTTATTCAAAAAAAATTTGTCATTCAATTAGGGTCAAGGTTTGGCACTGATCAATTGATCGATCGATGATTGTGGTTTTGGTGGCTAAGTAGAAATGGAATTCTGAAACATTTTTGTGGGAAGGAAGACATTCCAAAAAAATGACGAGATCTAAAAATTGAAAATTTCTATCTTTTTTGGTTTGTTTTGTTTGTTTGCCATTCAGATTATTGTACCATTTGTAATCGTAATGAACCAAAACTAGATTTTTGGTTTCCTTTCAACAATACCTGATAACGTGGATCATTAAAATTTGGCCTAAAACGGAATGAAAAATCGATAAAATAAATCAAATTCAAGTTTATTCAAATTAAACTTACTTTTCAATGCAATGTCGTACAATAGTACGACCAACCAAACGCACTGGTAATAGTTTTCGTAAAACAATTTCCGAATCACCATTAACAATTGTATGATATTGGCAATCATTATTATAACCATAATTTGGTGGATATTTTGGATATCTTGGTCGATAACGACGACGTTCCATTTCGACATCGGTCGATGATAATTGTTGTTGTTGCTGTTGCTGCTGTGATTCATCAGTGATCATATTATCCCGAATTGGTCCATTTCTCATCATCATAAAAGGCATCATTGATGATGCGGCTGCTTGACGTTGTTGTAATGGTGGTGGCACAAAAGGATAAGGTGGACGCGGCATTGGTGGTAACATCATCATTGGCGGCGGTGGGGGTAATGGCGGCAATGGCAAGGGTGGTGGTGGTAAAATTGAACGTTTTGAACGGGAAAGATATGCCAAATTCATTGATGATGATGCGACAGAATCGGCTATTCCAACATCATCATTAGATTTAAATTGAATGCGTTGTTTTGTTGGAATAGTCGATTCTGATGATGATCGATATTGTCCATATGGACGAATTGAATGCCAAATTCTTGGATCTATCAATGGAACAAGAATTATTAACCGAAAAACAAAAAACAATAATTACCTTGTTCGAAATCGGCAAATTGTCCCTGTTGATATGATCCACGAGCTAATGATGCAATATTTGGTTGTTGATCATCATCTGATGAATGATGATTGTGATCATTATAATTATCTGACCATATTGATGATCGATGACCATTAACATTGACAACAATCAATGGTATTAGAACAAAACTCATATAAATGGCTGACGTCATCATTTTTAGCAAAAATTTGGTTTGGGATGATGTAAATCACAAACTAACATTTGATTATCATTCAGGTAAAAAAGTAAATCTGGTCGAATATTGATCTTTGGTCTGATGATGGTTTCTCTTTTTTTCGTTTTCTGGTTGCCTTTCAAAGAAAGCTTAGAGAAAAGTGATGATGAAGATAGAGATGAAGAGATCTGTTTGTCACCAGAAACATTTTGACCAGAAAAACTTATCATCATCATCATTCACTTTCATTTACATAAGATTTTCCATTTTTTGGAGAAAAACCGAGCCCGAAGCATATTTATATTTTCAGAAGAGACATTTTTTTTTGTTGAAAAATCATTTTTCTTTTTCGGTGTTTAGGTCATATTGATGAATTCATCGTTTGTCTAAAAATAGCCCATCGAAAAAAATAAATAATAATTGTTATTATCTGGGTCTTTTCTCTTTCCTTTATTTCGTTTTCTCTTATGATTTTGTTTGACAAAAAAAACCTGGTCTTGCTGATATAGTAGTAGTAGTAGCCAAACAAGTAGAGTAGATATAAAACCTAAAACAACAAATATAACAGGTTCTTCACAATCTCTCTGTGAAACCGTACAATCAAATCAAATCAATCGGTTTTTTGAATTGTGAATATAGTCAAAACATCCAATCAACATAAACATTGGATTTAATGTTTTGGTGATAAATAAATGGGAAAAAAACATTATCAATTCAAATGTTTTTTCCTCGAAAGAAAAAAACATTCAACAAGTTTGTCGGTCGAATAAAATTTTATATGATGTACGCGTCGCCATCTATCGATTAATAATAGGACAATTTATATGTTTTTTTCTATTTGAATTTTTAAAAAATTTCGACAACAAAAAAATGTAGATCTTGATCACATGACACAGCATCATTGATCATTTCGAGAAAAAGATTTTCAATCTAGTTCTTTTTTCCGTTTGTTTGTTTGTTTGTCAGAGAGTTGTTGTGACCAAAGATTTATATTCATTATCATTGATAGAAATTATCATCATTCAATCATTCAATGAATGGATGACCTTTTTCTATTTTGATTTGATTTATTTATGATTGTTTTGTTTTGTTCTTCTACTCAAATAAAACAATAACTCAAAAAGAAAAAAGAAGAACTTTGGTTGTTTGATCTAATTCTTTTCAAAAAAAAAATATTTCTCTAATCTTCATATTGTTGATGATCAACGGCATTTTGAATGGAAATCATTATCATCATTATCATCATCAGTATTTTGATTAATTCATTAAAAAATTATTATTTAACCCAAAACAGAACAACAATAATAATAATAACCATGTCTTTCTTTCTTCTTTTTTAGCATTATTCATTATTCATCTTTGAAATCAAAAATCAAACAACAACAACAATTATTATTCGATAACAAACAAAAAAGAACAGTGAAATAATAATAATAATAATAGTAATAATTTTCATCTTAATCTGGATCATCATCATCATCATCATGATAATCAACATAACCCAGGTATTATCTAGGTATTAATTATTCAAAGATTGATAGTGATAAAACAAAAGGGATAGGTCAGGCCAGGATGGTTTGCAAAAAAAAGATTCTGATTTATTGATTATATTTTAGATCAGATCGATACAATTTTTTTCTGGTTAATGGATAATCACAATAATCATTAATGAATGAAAAAATTCATTTGAAATTTGATGTGTGTGTTCAACAATGTTGTTCAATTTTTTTTCAAAAGGCTTTATTTATTTATCTATTTGATTCAACTCTTTTTCTATTTTGATTTCTATTTTCACCCAAACATTCAAAAATGAACAACAACAACGAAAAAAAACAAGGTGTGTATGCGTATTTGCCTTGATCTTTTCTTGATTTTTTTTTCATTTCATTTCATTCCAATCAATCATTGAAATTTAATGAATGAAATCAAAAGATGATCTACATTCTCCTTTGTGTTTGTGTGTGTGTGTGTATATAGCCCAAAAACAAACACTTTTTATGATTTGAAATTATGGCCAGAAAAAGTGTTTTCTTTTTCTTCTTTTGGGTGCCAAAAAGAAGAAAAATCTTGTTTGTTTTCCAGAAAAAATCTCTTGGCTTTTTTTTCGGTTGTTTTTTTCTTCCAAATAAATTAATTGAAAAAAAGTTCAAAGAAATTTTTCTTTGTTTTTTTCCTGTTCAATTGGATTCGGTTTTCATAAACGGTTTTTGGACTAAATTTAGATCATCCACCAAAATCATCATCATCATCAAATTAAATCACCACTTTTGTGGTTGGATCAATTGGTTTGAACAGAAAATTTTTCAAGAAATTCAATTGGTTTTTTAAAACAAAACCAAAAATATGACTCTCTTGAGTAGATATATTCGTAATGATCATCATTGTTATCGATGTTTGGTTGGTTAGTTTGGATTGTGTGTGTGATGATGTTTTTTCGATAGTTTTTCCAAACACAAATCTGTCATTGTTTTAGGTTTTGTTTTTCGTTTCTTTTGTTTTCCAAACAACCAAAAAACCAATCGAGAACATTGATTGATTGATTGATCAATCAATTTGATGACCATATTTGTAACAATCGATGATGATGATGATGATGATTATCGATTGTTTTTACATCTTTCAAACAACCATGATGATGATGATAGTAATAATCATCTTTTTTGCTTTAATCTGATCTTTTGATCGATCGTTTGTTTGTGTGTTTGGCGATTTCCCTTTCTGTTTATGTCTGCTTTGGTTTTTGGATTTTATTTTTATCTCGAGAAAAGCTTTCGATGAAGAAGAAGAAGAAAACCATATTTAGACATTTCTTGAAAAAAAGAGATTTGAAGTAGAAGAGGAGAGAAAATGAAAACATCTCAATCAAAAAAAAACGAAAACTAGAAGAAATCATTCAACAAACGAAAAAATCGCATCAATTTTCGGATGATGATTCCATTTTTACCATCATCATCATCTTTATTAATAATCTTTTTTTCCAAAATATAAAAAAAACAATCTTTCCGATCGGATTTCCAAACTGAAATGAACCCATTTTTGTTGTTTGTTTCGAATTCTGTTGAAACAAACAATCCAGGATTTAAATGAATGATCAATCGATCATTTTTTTCCGAAAAAAAAAATTTCGCAAACAAGCTTTATGTCTTTATCATCATCATCATCATTCACAATTTACAATTCAATCAATCAAATCACCATATATACAATTCACGGCCAATTCATTTTTTTGTTTTCTGTTGTCAGTCGAAAAAAAGATTTAAAATTTTAAAATTTTTTAAAATTTTTAACAAAATTTTAAAATTGATGATGATTGATTGGATTGAGTGTAACATTTTGTTTTGTTTTTGATGATGAAAAACAACATGAAAAACAACATCCTGTTTTTTTGCTGGAAATTTTCCCGTGTAACAAAAAAATTCGGTTCACATCAACCAAAAAAAGTTTTCCCGGAAAAAAAGAAATATTTCGGAAAAGAAATTTATAAATTTTTTTGTTCATTTCCATACCCAGAAACATAAAATATCCGGTATTATGCAGAGAGAAAGTATTTTCTTATTTCATCATTCAATCTACCTGTTCGGTGTCTACCTATGCCCAAAGACAAGCCCATGTTTTTTTTCATCATCATCATCATTTATATTCAACTTTAGTGATGTTTTTAATGTCTTTTTTTCTGGTTGTTGTTGTAAATAGCCATTTTTTGATGATGATTTTGTGTGTGTGTGATGTCCGATCATCATCATCATTATAATCATTATTATTATTATTATTATGGTTAACCATTTTGAAAATTCAAAACGCGAGAGAATTAATGTTATCTAAAAATATTCCAAACAACAAACAACACAAACACTGTGTCTGTGTTTGTTTGTGTGTGTTGGTGGTTTTGTATTTACGGGGCATCATTCAAAATGGAAAATGTTTTTTTTTCAACTAAATACCATGGCTGGTTGTTGTTGTTGGCCATAGTTTGATGATTGAATCAAAATAGAAATTTTTTTTTTCATTTCGTTTTCTGTCCAAAGATTTTATTTCATTTTCGGAAATTCGGATGTGTGTTGGCTACAACAAGGGTGCAACAATTTCCCTTTTTTTTATTGTAATTTTCTTTCGTTGTTGTTGTTGTTATTGTTGTCGACGAAAATAATCAACAACAACAACAATGACCATATATGTGATAATCCATTCTTTTTTTTCACTTTTAATCAAAATCACCGACGTAAGATGTTAAAATAGTCACACATATTATCGAAAAAAAACCAGAAACAGTTATGACTATTTCGACTTTTTGTTTGTAAATTAATTTTTATTTATAAAAAATTAAGAAATTTATTTGAGAATAAAAAACACAGGCAAATTGAAAATATTAAAAAAAAAGTTTAGTAAAAGTAAACACAATCAAGTGAAAGAGAAATGCCGAAAAAAAGAGAGAAAATTTTACAGAATTTCAATTTGGAAAACAAACAAACAAAAAATTGCAGAAGTGATGCGGAAAATTCGAGCTTGTCAAATGACCAAATATGGATGGATGTTTTTTTTGGTCCGAAAACAAACAATGACAAATATTCTTAAGCTCGACAAAAAAATGAAAAAAGGGAGTAAAATTTTGTTTAGGAATTTCAACAACAACAAAAAGACTATTCTACAGACTTTTCCAGATTTAAAATTTTTGAAAATTTTCTTTGCAAATTACACAAATAAGTAGTGATTGAAAATATTATAATATTTTCTGTTTTTTATTTTACGAAAAAAATTTTAAAATTAATTAAAAAAAACAATTACAAATTGACGACTTTAATTAATTAATTATGTTGAGATTGATGATGATAATGATGAGTATGATGATGATGATCAAAATGACAATAAAGGGTTTTTTCGGGTAATGAGAATTTGTGAATAAAAATCGCAAAGGAAAAAAAATCGATGGCCAAAAACAAAGATTTATGAAGAAAAAAAAATTAATTAATTTGATTAGAATGATGATGATGATGTTTCATCCATCTTTAGGATGCTTTAGGTTTTTTTTGATTCCAGAATTTCAATTATATTTGCTTGGAATCAATCCATTGGGATTCGATTAACAAGAAGATTTTCGTTTTTTAATCCTTTTTCGTTGATGTCGATGATGACGATGACGACGATGATGATGATGAGGAGGAGGATGATCGACGTTCGGCATCACCATTTTCAATATCATCATTATCATTTAATAAATGATTGGATGTTGGCTCTAGATTTGATGAATCATCTTGATTCATGATTAAATCATTATTATTTATTATTGATGCTGTTGGCTGCGGTTGTTGTAATTCTTGTTGCTGTTGCTGTTGTTGTTCTTGATCAATCATTTGCATTATTGATGATGTTGGTGAATAGGAATTTTGATGATGTTGTTGCGGCTGTTGCTGCTGCTGCTGCTGTTGTGGATGATGATGATGATGATAATAAGGAATCGGATATTGCTGTTGCTGTTGTTGATGATGATGATACATAAATTGTGGCTGTAAATAATAAGTTTGTTGTTGTTGTTGAGCTTGTTGTTGTTGTTGGTATCCATATTGTTGTTGTTGTTGTGGATGATGATAATAATTAATCATCGATATTGTTTGACTATTTTCCGATGGCTGTGCCTGATGATTATCATGTTGTTGCTGTTGTTGTTGTTGATGATGCTGTTGTTGTTGTTGCTGTTGCGGATGATAATGATGATAATGTGGTGAATGATGGTAATATTGCTGTTGTTGCTGTTGCTGCTGCTGCTGATGTTGTTGTTGTTGTTGATTTAAATTTGCTGAATAACTATTCTGTGGATCATTGCTCATCATTTGTTGTACATTTGATGGTTCTTGTTGTGATTGCGATGATGATTGCGGTGATGATGCGGGTGGTAATAATTTTGATTCATGTAAATTTGATGCAGCTGCTGCTTTATATCCATCATATGCATATGATGGTGGATGATATACTGGCTTTTTCTTGATGTAAACCCTAGTTGTTTTTTTCCAAAACGAAACGAAAAAAATGAAATTAAAAAAATAACAACAAAAAAAACATCACAGAAGAAATTCTTGAAAGAGAAAATAGAATAAAATGTTTATCATGTCACTGACTGACTGACTATATGTTTGTGTTTAATGAAGCAAGAAAACAAATTATAAACAACTTGCAAAAGGTAAAGTAAAGTAATAGAAAAAAACTAAACAATTTTTCAATGATGATGAGATTTTTCTAATTTAAAAAATGAAAGAAATCCTAAAAAAATCACCAACATAGATATATGGCTACAAGGGTAACCAGAAAGAAAAAGGTATTGTACTATTATTTTCATTTCATTTCGTTATTAGAGCGTGATGATGATGATGATGAATCCTGAATGTTACTTCATTTCTAATATTTGAACGGTAATTATTATTATTATTTTGAAATGAAATCAACTAACGAAGACGATGATAAAATTGTTGTCAAAACACATGCAGTTTTTTTTTCATTTGACCAAGAAATTTGATGATTGAAAATGATATAAATGACTTTTTTTTCGGTCTGTGTTTGAAGAGTAAAATGATCAGACTAAATGATTTAAGAGTTGCTTATTATCTATGCCATTGAAATTTTTGTTTTGTTCTGAATCTTTTTCTTAGTTTTGGGCGCTCATTAATCATTAACTGTATTTTGTTGTTGTCATTTGAAATGGATTTTTAAAACACCATTTAATTGATTGACCCTGATGGTCATTCATTCATTCATCATGGATTATGGTTAATAGTTACTAAGTTAGTTGGTTAGTTAAAATGAATTGATAAAAAGATAATACTTACGGTACTGGAATATGTACGGGTTTTTTGATAATAATTTGTTTATAAATCGGTACTTTTACAGGTACTGGATATGGTTTTGGTACATGTATAATTTTCGGTACAGGATATGGTACATATTTTGGTACTTTAACCGGATAAGGTACACGATATGGTTTGGCTATTTGTATTGTTTTATATACTGGATATGGTTGATGTTTAATGATTGGTACCGGTACGGGTACTGGTTTTGGAACAGGAACTGGTACCGGTTTTGGTACCGGAATTGTTTTCGGTATCGGTATTACTTTTTTTACTGTTTTATATATTGGTACTTTTACAGGTACATATACTGGATGCGGTACGGCTACTGTTTTCGGTACTGGTACCATTTTTGGTACATGTATTATTTTTGGTACTGGAACCGCTTTAGGTATATGTACAGTTTTATGTATTACTTTTACAATTGGGGGTTCGTGATAACCACCACCACCCCCATAGCCACCACTAGCCAAAACAATATTTGTTTGAATCAAAATTGTCATCATTAATTGTAGCCATATTGATGTTAATAATGGCCTTGATAATCGTTGTTTGCCACATTTATTCATTTTTGATGATAAAATTCAGGTATTTTGTTTATGTCCCCAGGTTTAATTTTACTTTGATAATAAGATTATGATGATACACAGAGAAAAATCGTAATTAATCCAATCGACTAACTAATCGAAAAAAAGGGAAAAATTTTTTTAAAAAACCTTAATTAGTGAAAGTTATTTTAAAATTTTCGTAAAAAATTTATTAAAAAAAGTGTGTGTGAATGTTTCTAAATGGGTCATTTTTTTGAGAAAATACAACGTTATCAGATCTTTACGGAAATTATAGTTTGATCGGGTTGGTAAGGAGAAAAAATAAAATTGAATCGAATGAAAGAAAGTGAATCCTGAAGTTTTGATTTGATTAAGAATTTGGTCCTGTTTTGTTTGTTCTCAATTTTCTTCAACAAAAAACAAAATATATCATTCCATAATCAAATACCTAAACTAACCTAGTTGAATGGAATAAGAACAATAAGATTTTTTCAAGTTGTTTAGGGCGAACAACTAAATGATAGAGCATAAAAACCAAACACACTAGATTCACAAAATATATATGTGATTGGTAATGACCGACAATCAAAACAACAACAACCATAACGATTTGTCCAACTTAAATGTCCTATTTGTATACAGCAAAAAATGATAAAATAATATCTTCTCTCTCTCTCTCTACTGTGAATGCTCATATCACATATATCAAATAAATGAATAATATCGATGTCGATCAACAATCATCATTGTTATAATGGTTTTTTGTTGTTGTTGTTGTTTTTGAATTTAGAAAATTAGATCTAACCAAAATGATATAATGATAATAATAATGATGATGATGATTGTTGATTTTTTTCGTTTCATTCGTTTTGTTTGTTTGTTTGTCGAGCTAGGTAAAGGTAAATAAATAACTGAATTTGGTAATGTATCATCATCATTGTTTTTGTTTTAAATGGCCAATTTTCTTTTCAGACAAATTTAGATCAAATTTTTGTTGTGGCAAAATCCTGATCCATTTATGAAAAATATGTTTTTTTCGTTTCTTTTGTTTTTTCTTTGATCTATTTGCATCCATATTGAATGATCCGATCGAATAAATCAAATCAAATACAATCAGGGATTTTCTTCTTTTTTTTTTGATTTAATAAGATTTGGCAAATGTGTGTTTTTTTACAAAATAAAAAAATACCAACCAGATTTGTTGAATGATGCTATATCAGTTGTCGTTGATCATTTGTTTGTGGGAAATTTTTTTGTTGCTAAACAAAAATGAAAAAAAAATCACCCTGTAGGGTTTTTATTGCAATGGAAAAAATCACTTTTGAAATCACTCTTCGAATCACACATAACCAGAAAAAAATCCGGTAAATTTTTTTTGTACTAAATTAACCGGAAATAAATTAAACGAAACAAAAACAAAAACACCACCCAGACACACTTATTTCACAATGGAAAAAAATATTACACTTTTAAAATTTAAAAATTTTAAAAATTTTAAAATCAAAAAAACCAGAAAAAAAATTTTCATTAAAACACTTTTCATGTAGTTGCCGTAAGTCAGTCAGTCGATCAATCGGTCAGTCAGTCAGTTGAATGAATGAATGAATGAATCGACCAGAATGACAGAAAAAAAAATCAAACAACAACCAGCAAATAACAACATAGAAAAACAATGCGAAATCAAAAAATACCGTTATGTTTTTTTTTAATGTTTGAAATAAATTTCCACTGTATCAACATGTGGTGTGGTGTGTGTCAGTTTACCTGGATGATGATGATGGTGATGATCAAAAAAAAAAATTTTCATCTTTTTACTTTAGTTCAATCTGGCTCTCTCTTTTTAATTTTTTTTTGTTACCTGTCTCTCTTTAGCTAGGCATCACATTTTTTTCGTAAAGAAAATTTTTTAATTTCTCTTTTGGCTATTTTTTTCTCTCACTCTCTTTCTTTCTTTCAGAGAATATCACCTGGGCAATTGTATCCACCATGTACATGGGAACGATATTTTCAACAGAAGAAAAAAAATTTCGGTTAATTGAAGAAATCCCGAACCAAAATCAAGAAAAAGAAAACAGACCGTATGAAGTTGAATGACTTATTATTCAACGTTTTCTCTATTCTCTAATATTTCTCAACAACTAAATTTTTATGAATGTAGTTAACCAGTTGTAGTTGTTGTAACCGTAGTAGTAGTTGATTCAAAATCAATAACAATTATCGATTCAAACAAACAAACAAAAAACTTTAAACAATCCAAATAACAAACAACCAAACAAACAAGTAGGCATTTTTCTTTTCTTGATTGATAGTTTTTTTATTACGTTTGTTCGTAATTTTTTAAAAAATACTATCGATAGTATCGATTTTAGTTTGAAATTAATTCAAAAGAGAGACCGAAACATTTGAATATTTTTCTTAATGTTGGCAAATTTTTCTGGTATGTGGATGTAAATCTAAATAATGATGTAAGGAAAAGGAAGAAAAAACAAATGAAAAGAAAGGATTTATTTGTTTCCAGGTTTAGAAATAGCACATTTGGATGTATCCAAATGATAATAATAATCCTCATCATCATCATGGTGGTCTTTGTTTTATTTATTATGGAGGATGAAGGAGAGGGAAGAAATGTTCACAATATTGTGTGAAATGTTTTTTTCCCCTCTTCAATTGATAAGTGATATCTGTTTTGGTGATTTGATCCATCGATAGTATCGATACTAGATCGAAAACAACAGCCAAATTAATTGATTAATTAGGTTATAATTTAAAAAAATTTAAAATTTTTCCACTTGGTCATCATCGTTTTTTTCTATTGAAAAAACCATGATGATGATGATAATTTTTTTGCAAAATTATTTAGGTCAAACATTGTATCATTTTCGTCTTTTTCACTTTTGTTCATCACCTTAAAATATCAAATTGAAATAAGTGAAAGTTTTTTGTATGTTTCATTGTTGTTGTTGTTGTTATTGCCTGCCATCCATCCATCAATCGATTGATTGATCGATCGATCAATCGAAGTAACCAAAAAAAAATCGATCAAAATAAAACAGCTAAAATGTGCAGGTGTAAGGTATATAATATATTTGACTGGCTTGGCTGACTGCTATATTTGGCAACATTCCACATCGGATCACCATTGGATGGATGAGAGGGATGGAGAAATTGATCTCTTGACTTCCCACACTTACTCTCACTATCAGTGGGTCAATATTTTTTTTTCGAAAAAGATTTTTTCATTTTGTCAAAATTTAATTAAAAGAAAGAAAAAAATTTGGTGGCAAGAGAACTGCAGTGTGTCATTTTTTGATTTTTTCGATTTTCGATCAATGTTTTCTCGTTGTTGATGATGATGTCATCATCTTTTTTTTTGACGTTAAGCATCAGCATTTTTTCGGGAAAATGAATCGAGTTCATTGGCCACATTGTTGTTGTTGTCGGTTTTTTTTCGTCTAGCTTCTAATCAATCAATCGATCGATTGATCGACAACAACAACCAAATTCGGTAGCTATCAAAAAAAACTATCGATCGATATAATCGATAGTTTATCGATTGTTGTTTTTGCTGTCTTTGTTTACTTATGTCATGTTATCGATAAACAAACAAATAAACATCGATCGATTGATTGATGTTTGAGAATAAACAACAACAACAAAAGTGAAAACTTCTTTGAAAAAAAAAGTTTCAAATTGATCGATAAAACAACAAAAAAAAGGCGACAACAACAAACTAAAATTATCATCAAAACGACGACGACACAATAGGATTTCTTTCTTCTTCTTTTTTTTATTACTATTTTTCGAATATAATTTGTTCATTTTTTTTGTTTTATTTTGTTTGTCTGATGGCAATTGTTTTTTTCCCAGAAACTTTCTCTTGTTTCCATTTTGGATCAATTTTCATTTCATTTTTATCAAGGGAAAGTTGCCGAAAACAAACGAACAAACGAACAAGAGTGATGCATCGACCACCCATCCATCCAATCCATTCATTCAGATATTTTAAGTAACAAAAAACGAAACTAAACTAAAAAAAAGTTCAAAGATTCATCATTTTGTTTGGATCTATTTCACCAAAACGAACGAAAAAAAGATGAAATTATTTCGCCAATCAACCAAATTAATATCCAATAATAATATATATTTAGGATCGATATCTGATCGATTATTGGATCCAACCAATTTATCCATCAGAGATCATAGCAATTAAATGATTGATAATGATCATTATCATCATCATGATTTTTTTTATTTGCTACTAATAATTTTCAATCACTAAACATCATCCATTCATTCAGGTTGTTTTGTTTCGTTTCGTTTCAAACTAAAAGCTGGCCTGGTTTGTTGTTACATTCATTCATTCATTCATTTGGTCACACAAATCATTAACCGAAAAAAAATTACAAACATTTTTTATCATCATCATTTTTACCTGAAAGGAAGAAAAAAAACTTGTTGCCCGTTTAAAAACTGTTTTTTTCACCATATAATCATAACTAAAAGATATTTTTACCCCGTCGAATAACATCATCATCATCTAGAAAACGAAAATGAATAACTTTATACCACCAGCGATAGATAAATATCTGGAGCGAAGAAAGTATTTTTTCCAACAAAAAAAACAACACCACGTAACGATAAAATGGAGGTAATAAATGAATGAAATTCACTTTCGTTCATTCAATTTCAGGTAGTGTAAATGAATGTTTTTTTTGAAAAATAATAATGTCTATTGGAACATGTTTTTTTGGTGATGTTTTTTTTGGGCGCCCGGTTTTCAACCAAAAATGAATTAATCATTTCGAGAAAAATTAAAGCCAGGTAGATGTTACAAGAAGAGGGGAAAAAATTTTATTTGATTTTGAATTTTTTCGGGAATTTTTTTTTCCTGGGAATTTTCTCATTTTGTTGCCATTATTGAACACAAGAGGTCATTGGTGGTCATCATTACCATCAAATACCATTTTTGTTCATAATTTATTCGGGTTTTTTTTCTCCATTTCTCTTTCATTTCTAAAATGGTATTTGATGATGAAGAAAAACAACAACAACATTTACAGACGTTTGTCTTGAATCTAAAATTAGACATTTTTTGAACACACTTAATATCGGTTAGGTATAGATTATTATTACAAGGGTAGTCTAATCTGATCTGATTTCATTCGAAAAGTAACATACAAAGTGAATCCATCATCGATATGAATTTTCTAGAAATTTTTCTCTCTCTCTCTTTCTCTAAAAGTTTTTCCCACCGGTGAATGAAAAAAACATCCTGATTTGATTATTTTATCCAGAAATAATAATATTTTTGCGTTTCTCTCAAATCAAAGACAACCGGTGTGTGTGTGTGTGCATCGATATAACAATAACCATAAATTGTCCAATCAGGTAATCAATCAATCAATCAGACAAAAAAAAACGAAAAAAAATCTAGATCTAGATTCGGACATCAATTGTATTTCGAGAAAAGAAATTTGATATCTTTGGTTACTTTCCCCTCTTGCTGTGTGTATATTCAGGTTATGAATTATGACAGGCCAATAAAAATTTGTTGCTTTTTCCATTGTTTCTTTGAAATCAAAAGTGAAAATCATAATAAAAATTTTCATTTTTTTTAAAGATCGATAAATACGGACAAGGAACTTTCTTTCTTTTGTGTGATCGATTGTGTTGTTCACTCCTGCCGGTTTTGTCGATTGAATTGGTCGAAACAAACAAACAAACAAATTATTAAACACTGATTAAATTGAACCAGGTTGATCGGTCGGAAACCATTCCCGGAAACATTTTTCTTTGTTATAAACATTGCTTATTGTTTTCAGTTTTAAATATCGATCAAATCAATATGATCGATATGGTATTTTGACTGCCGGTTGGTTGGTTGGTTGTTTTGCTGCTATCTTCCTCCCCTTATAAGGTTCAAATAGGTTATCTCTCTTGTACATTATGATTATAACTAACTAAATAACCGAATTTTCACTGAGCAAGGTAGAAATAGTTGGAAAAAGCTAACTAACTATACATTATCGATTAAGGGATAATCTTTATTCAAATTGAAAATATCTAAATAATATCATACATTTTCCTTGCAAATAATCATCATTGTTATTATGATTATTATCGAGAGAAAAAATAATTATGATTATCATTTTTAACAACAAGGAAAACAACAATTAAAAACAATATTGGAAAATGTTTACTTTTGTTTTTTGTTTTTCAACTATTTTTACTCAATTGACTAATCAAT